GGGGGGGACGACAGTTAGCAAAAGGGCTGGTTTTACTCATCCCCTTCCCCGCCACACTTGCTGGGTTTATACGTCTCCCAAAAACACATCCCAAGGGGCGAGCAGCAAGGCAGGGGGGGGCTGGGAAACCCACTGCCAGGCCACCGGGCACCTGGCAATTTGGGATACCCCCAGCAAGGATGCTTTCAAAAGCTGCTTGCCACCCAATTTTAGACTTTCTTGGGAAAAAAATAAATAAATAAAATCATTCTGCCCCATCAGTGCCCTCCCCTTCCGCAGACCAGAGGGAGATGGGGCTCCGCACCCCCACCGAGGACCCCGGGGTTGAGCCCCCGCTCCATCTCCCTCCCCGCCTTCGCACCCTTCGCTTGGGCACTGAATCATCGCTTAATAATCAGGAAAGGCAATTTGCATGCAGATTTTCATCGCTTCACTGAACATGGCTTTGATTGTATTGGATTTTTTTATTTTTTTTTTAATTTTTTCCTTCTTCTTCATCTCAAATGAACTTGGGGCGTTTTGTCCCTTGGTAACCTGAAGAAATGACGTGCAGCCCAAGAGCATCACCTCTTATAACGAGGGTGGCCGCCCTGGTGGCCAGGGGAAAGGTGGAATTCCCATTTCCCAATTCCCATTTCCCAACAGCTCACGGCTGTTGTCGAGGTGGAAGAAGGAATGGAAGAAGGAAAAAAAGCACGCAGAAACACAAAAGCAGAGCCGTAACGCCCCAGCTATGCTCCCACAGCCCTGGGACACGCGGCCGCAGCCTCCGCCGGCCCCTCGGGAATCCTGTGCCGTGCTTTCCTCGGACCACGGGCATGGCACCCGGCGCCCGACCACAAAGCAGCGCTGCAAAGCCACCGGCGCCAAGGGGACGCTGAGCCCTCCAGCTCCAAAACCCCCAGCAATGGAGAAGAGGACAGAACTCCCCAGCGGCGCTTGGTCACCGTGCAGAAGGTCAGGCTGGCTGGCATCACCACAAAGTCCCGATTCCACCGGAGACGTCGAGTCCCGCAATACAAGTGACACCATCCCCAGCCTGCTACGCTTTTTTCCCCCTCCCCCTCCCCTCATTGCACTTGAAATTAAGTCTCCTTTTGCTCTTCCCTTGAGAGAAACATCACCTTGGTGACTCATTCCCGCCTTCCCTGTCTTGCGTACGCCCTCCATGCTGCATCGCCCAAGCGCGAGCGTTCACCTGCCCGAGAGAAGGCTGTGGTGGCCCCTCGTTGCCCTCTGAAACCCCAACACATGCAGTGCTCCTCAGGCGAGACACCCCCACGTTAAACCTTGGCACGGCGAGGTTTTAGGACTGACCCAGGCAGCAATGCACGCCTGGAAGGGTGCTCAGCGCTCAGGTCCCTGTGTTTCCCAGCAGGATCTGGGGGAATGCCAAGAATGGGCTTTTTTGGCGAAGGAGACCAAATCGGCTGCCCCACGCCGGGCATCGGGGCTGGCCGCAGCCGAGGATCCGGTACTGGAACGGGCTCCGGTGGGCTGTGCCAGCGCGGCTGTGAATAGGAGATGCTCGTGCCCCTGCTCGCATGTCCCCACGGGTACGCTTTGCTCAGGGCTAAGCCGAATCGTCGTTTCCACTGTGTCCCAGCGTTTCTGGGGCAACACCACCCCGCAGAGAGCGGTGGCAGTGAGAGGGCTGCCCGGCTGGAGCATCACAGCAGAAGTTCCTGCTTTAAGTGGTTTGGGTGGTTAGGAACTGCTCCCGAAGAGTGGGGGCAGCATCCCCTCCGAAGTGGGATGTGGGGGAGCGAGGAGGGTCCCCAACCCTGGACACAGAGGGATGCCGCGGGCTGCTCCCGCAGGGACCTGCAGCCCCGGAGGGCAAACCACCCCGGGAAGCACATCAGCTGCTGCTTCGCCATCACCCCGGCAGCGTTCCCCCACGTCCCAACCTCTGGGCTTGGCAACCGTGCCGTTTCAGCTGGAAAAAAGGCACTTTTTGGCACAGCACGGGGCGGGCGGCACAGCCACGGCGCGCTGTGTCCCCCCACACGCACACACCTCCCATCGCATCCGCCCTGCGGCATCCCCAGAAGCAATCACGGAGAGCAATGCTAAAGTCAAACCTCAAAATGCAGTTCCACGGGGAGGTTTGCCCCAGCGTTCGGTCGACTCGGAACAACTCCCGAGAAAGGAGAATTACCCGAGATCCCTGTGGGAAAAATCTCTCCTCCCGCCGAGACCGACACCAAACCCCCTCCTGCCCGTTCCACGCTAAAAACGTACAAACAGGGGACTGAGGATTTAACAACGAGGAAAAAGCCATCTGTGCACGCAACTAATTGCCGGGATTACTGTCATTTGGTGAAGCGGGTGCCTCTAAAAACGAACCGCTCCGTAATTTAATTAAGTTGCCATCGAAAAGGAAAAGAAGGAGGGCTGCTGCTGCAAAGCACAGAGCCAGGATAAAGCCGGGCCCCGAGAGCCGGTTTCGAAGGAGCCCGAATCCCTGCAGGAATGACTTTTATCTGCGGCTCAGCACAAAGTCACCGGCGTGATTCCCATATCAAAGCGCTGCCCTGAGTGACGGGCGCAGGACGCGCTTTGTACTGCTCAAAACTCATTAGGCCATGAAATAACTTCATCCTGCCAAGGCAGGAAAGAACAACAGATGCCGGGTTTGCATTATCGGCGTTATTTAGCCCAGCGATCTTTAGACATTTGGGTCGAGTTTCTCCAAATTCGCAGCTTTCATCCGAGCGGGGCATCGTGTGTCCTCACCCCCCCGGCTCTGACCCGCCTAATTGAGGTCCCTCTCCGGCACTGCCCTTTGTGTGCCGACAATTAACCATACACCGACGAGGTTTGATTTAATTTCTGCCTGCGCCGGGGCATAAATCAAGGCTTCAGCTCGAATAAGAGGCCCATTGTATGCGGCGAGGGAGGAGAGGCTCCGGAGGGTCCGGGGATCACGCTCCTCCTGCGTCTCTCTCTGCTCTCCTTCCTTCACCTTCCCGCTGCTCTCCGCCTGCTCTCCCCCGTCCCCCTCCCTCGCCTTCGCCTCCACGCAGCCGTTCCCCCTCTTTCCCCGAGACGCCATCCCCTCTCCTACTTTGCTTCCTAAAATAAGCAACCATGTGCTCACCCTTTAAGCATCATTAGGTTTCAGGAGCAACACTCCAATAAGGCTCAAGGGAGAGAGAGAGGCGAGTTCATAAATCTCACTGGAAGGCAATCTGCGGGCTCGGGCAGCGTCGGCACATCGGTAACAGCCACTCCACGAGCGTGAGGTTTGGCTCACGCCGCCGGACAGGCAGTTGGCTTTTCCCTCTTCCAGGCCATCAGCCCTCGACACGCTCCCTGGGAACCACCTCGGGCGACAGGTCGTCCAAGACGCTGCTTTAAAAACACCCTTTTTCGGGTTTTGCATTTAAACGCACCTTTAAAACACGACGACTTGCATGTAAGCACAGCTCTTTGGTTTAAATGATCTCTAGAATGAACAGGAAAAAAGTAGGAAGCAGCATCTTGAAGTTGGAAAAACAAAAGAGCAGCGAAACCAACTTAGGGGATTTGTTCCACCCAAAAAGCCGGGAAAAAGCACCATCAGACCTGCAGGAAACCCCAACCTCCAGCGAAACAGCCTGCAGAAACAACTGACTGGGGTTTTTCCACTCTAGCGGCAACACTCCGGCTGGACCTCACCTGCCCGAAACCCCGCGCGCAGCCGCACGCTCGCACCGGGCGACATCTCTCCCGCCGTGGGCAAACCCAGCCAAAACTGGGGGGCCGCAGCCCCTTCCCCGTCCCTGCACTGGAGGAGGGGGAGATGGGCTGCAGGCGCCACGCGTGCCGCTCACTCCCCAGGAGACATTTGGCTAAAACCGTCTGCGCGATCTGCTGCAGAAGTCGCTAAAAATAAACTGCCCGTGCTCAAAGAACAACTCCTTTTGATGCAAATACCCAACTGCAAAAAGGAGAAGAAAAAAAAAAACAAAACCAAAAAAAAAAAAAGGCACTTTTATTGGTTAAAGGCATTAAGGAGGGATATGGGCTTCGGGAGGTTTCGCTCCACCTGTCCCCTATCTGTCTGCGCAGCGCCAATGGCAGCCAGCGCGCAGCCCCCCCGGCAGCACGAGGGGCTCGGCGCACCGGGGTCCTGCCCGGGAGCATCGCTGGTGCCGGCACGTGAAGGGGGGGGGTGGGTCAGAAGGCCTTAAATAAACAACACATACTGATAAGCAAAGGGGGTGGGTGTGGGGAGGGGTTTACTTACACTTGCATGGAGTTTTCCTTTTTTTGACATCGCTAAAAATTTGTTGCTGAAAACTCCTCGTATTCCTACAATCCCCTGAGACACAGCAAATATTTCCAAAACACCTAGGATGACAGAAATCCCAAAATAAATCACAGTTCTTTTCACATCGGTGTGACAAAGAAGAAAAAAAATGAAGAAAAAAAAAAAAAGAAAAGAAAACTAGTCCCATAAGTTGGCAATTCCTCTCCACGCTCCGTGGCTGCCCGGCTCCACGCAGCGCTCCTGCCCCATCCCTCCGCCCCGCACATGGACCTGCATCGACTCCGGGATGACGGGGTTGGTTGGTTGGTTCCCCCCCGGCCCCCAAAAAGCTGCGTTTTAAAGGACAATTTCTGACTTGGCTGCGACAGAGCAAGTTCACCCCTGGGGAATCCCTCTGAAGGGTGGGAAAAGCCCCTCATGCCTACCGCCCGCCTGCCACCATCATCCGTGCCTGCCCTCCTCCCGCACACGCCGGACTGGAAATAAATGTGTCACACGCACTGTTTGGGGCTAGAAGTACCAATAACGGTTTCTCAACCCCTTCTTCACAGCAGGACTCGGGCAGGGGGGCCCAGGAGGGAGAAAACAAGCTGCTTTCTCCTCAAACGGGTATTTTCAGAGCAGGATTGGGCTCTGGCTCCCGGCAGGGGTGTGCGTGACCTATAACTCATCTTATGGAAGAGCTTCAACCCGGAGCATCATTCCACAGCACTGACACGTGTCGCTTCCCCACCGTGCCCGGTGTCCCCCCGGAGCAGAGGAAAGGTGGCCGCAGGGGTCCCATCCCCACAACCGGGGGGAGCACCACATCCCCAACGTGCCCTTCCCACCCCAGGAAAAAAAGGATCGCTATCCCCAGCTGCAGCCCTGGGGTGGCCCCGGGGGT